TTATAAGACAAAGCGATATACTTTGCCATTGGTTACGTGGCTGTTATGTCTGTGCGTGCGTGATGGTTAAATCACTTTTTTTTATAGATTTTTTCGTGTCACATACGTATTTGTCCATGAAATGGGATAAAAGTGATGTAATAAAGTCTATTCCAATCATTGTTCCGCTTTTCACGGATCTAAGTTGTGCTGTAACATTTCTTCCCACTCACATATATATATACTAAGCCGTGCGATACCTTTTTCGCCAATCACAAAGCAGAAGAACAGTTCTAAAATTAGAACTGTAGATGAGAAGGCTGCCACGGCTCTGGTGCTAGTCACTAGTGCTTTGATGGACACCTGTGCTCCGCTCGACTTAGAAGGGCTGCACGCATGGTGGACCAACTACTTTCCTGATACACACACCCCGACACAAGCCAACACACACACACATGTACAGGGAGATATGCCTACACACATATGCCCACAGACGCCTGCAAAGGCAGTGGGCGTTTTTGACTGGCTACAAGCGTGCGCGCAGTTTGCGGCCGGTCGTGTAGAATACGCGCTCGCTATTTTCACGCAAGTATGCGTGTTGCTTAGCAACGGTGCTCCAGATATACCTACCAACCCGGCCACTGCCAGCGACCCTGACACGCCCACGTGGCATGGGCTGAGTGAGAAAGCACGTGCGCTTGTGCTGAGCTATGTACGGCTGCAACGGAGGCAGTGTGAGCTGATCCTGAGTGTCGGTGTCGACACATCGCCAATCGAATGCAACGAGAAGATTGCACCCATACAATGGCGTGCGAGTGTGGATGTGAACACAGCAATGTACAGTGGTGTAGGTATGGGGCAAGGTAGTGCGATGAAACAGGGCGATGGGACGGGTCACGCAGCGGTAGGTAGTACTCCACAGCTCTTCTCTGTAGGGACTCCGTCTATGCCGGGTGTGCAGGTGGATGCGGGTACAGCTGTGGGTGTGAGTGAGAGGGAGGAGAGTGCGCATATGAGGGCTATAGTGCGTGACCAACTGACTGTGTGGTCTGATGCTGCCGACACGACGTTGTCTGACAACCAATGGAAAGGTTTTATGAACGGGAGTGCAAGCCAATCAAAATCCACCAAAAGGGACGGTAACTATGGTGACGGCTGGGCCGAGTTTGGGCTGTTGTCTCAGTTGGATGTCATCGGAACACGGCACATTGCGCATCAACTGTTACAGAATACAGGAAGCACTCACCACACACGCACACACGCACATATGCCTACCAAACATCACACACAGCCTCGCACGTACAGTATATCGGGACCCTCTCATCCGTTCATGCGCGATCTCGCACACACTTTGGGGCTCGCCACTGCGATGTGGGGTGACTGGCGAGGTATAGCTGGTCTACAGCAGCTGGGAATGCTTACTCTGGGTTCAACTGGTGGTAGTGGACAATTAAGCAGGAATGATCTTGTGACTGTCCTGGAAGAGGCGACGACTGAGAGAAACTCGAATCTCAACCTGAAGGCTATCATGTGGTCCACTCGGATGCTTTCTAGAAGTACTGCTGGGCACACGAGAAGGTGAGAATCCATGTTATCACTTGTACCCGTTTATATTACACCTAAGCATCTATACATAAACAATTATATCAATGGTGCATTTGTATAAAACCAGTTATGTCATTGAAACATGTGTATGTGTATACTGATGTAAACCCTAAAACCAAAGCAAAAAAATTCCCTGCCCAGCCACAGTGAAAGTTCAAACCCCTAAAACTCTAAAACTGACATGGTGCTGTCGACTTCTCTCGTCGCCTCTGCTATCGAGTGACTTCTTGACTCATTTTACACCGAGAAAAAAACACTATAGTATGATTAATTGAACAAACACCCTTCTGATTGTCAATTAGAAAACAATTCACAACCAGGCCACTAATATTTGACTATTATCTTTAATTGCCCACCTGACAGCTCTGTTCCGTTGGCACGTGTCATGGGTGTCAGCAACGATGTCTCGAGCTACGGTGGGATCAACACGGTACTCGCCACTGTTACCTACCTTCGTAACCATGGTAACCCGCACATGGCCCTTTCATTTCTGTCTCGATTCCGTGCGAGTGCTATAAATAGCGTCAGCGCCCACCGAAGCTCCGCACACTTACCATCTTTTGAAAGCGGGACGCAAAGCGATACGATGACGGCAAATGTAAACGCAAGCTGGTTGGCTGTGGAGAGAGCACGGGCGCTTTATGATGTGGGCAGAGGCCAGGAAGCTGTGCACATCGTCCATGAAGTACTGCTGGGGTTCCCAATGTATGTGCACTACCACATATATATAATATATACATATACATATAAACACACACACACACACAGAGATACACATACACACACACACACAC